TTTTTTTTTTTTTTTTTGGGGGGGGGGGGGAATAATAAGCTTTTAAATTTAAGTTTATTAGCCAAGTTTCAAAAGCTGAGGATGCTCATAGATATTTGAATAAAGTGACTTTATTGTTAAAAGGGAGTAAAACTGAAACTATCTATCTTCCTTAGATAATTCTTTGAATATGGGCCTAACAGATGTTCTTAACCACTGGGCAAACTAGGGTAATGGAAACATACAATGTCACTGTGCTCCCCCTAGAGGAAGGAGAAAACAGACAAGCAAGTAAATTCATTAATACATTAATACCAGATAGCAGTAATTGTTTTAAAGAACATAAAACAAGTTAATATGACAAAGAGCCAGATGCAAGAGTTAGAGGATCTAAAATTTGAGCTAAAAGCCCAATGATGAGAAACAGTCAGCCATATTGGATTCTGTGGACCAATAGTGGATAAGTAAGTGTAAATGTTGGTGTCTTCAGATAACCGCAAGAAGTTCAACATAACAGGAATAAATAGCCGTATAGACCCCACATGAAAGATCTTAAGCTGCACGGTCATAAAATCCAATGTGTTTTAATAGTCCCTCCTACAGCACTCTCTACTTCTCTGCTGGGTGTGATAATTCATTGCAATGGCCACACAGAAACTCACAGACCATTCTCACAGTTACGGAATTTTATTAAGGAAGTAACAGGTTACAAATCAGGATGAGAAACAATCCAAGATACAGTTAATCTATCAGGATAGCCTCCTTTCTGCTATGTCTACAAGCACACCCATACCCAGTGGGCCCTTGGTCTCTGTCCTGGGCTGGCAATTGCTACAAAACTCACTCAGCCAACAAATGCTCAAAGGTACTCTACACCAGCAGCAGGCCTCCTGCCCAAGGCAATTTGCTCCCTCATTGTGGGGGAAAGGAAATCCAGCACATCGTCTCCTAAGAGTCTCCTGGATCTACTGCCTCTGTTACCACCATTTCTCTGCTCTGGTTCTCACTACCTCCCACTAACTCCAATGTCATAGCTCTCGATTTCCTGGACCTCAGGGATCTCAAGTCCTAAACGATGCACTCCATGCCTGGCTCTTCTTTTATCCCCCTGTTAAGGTTCCATGCACCTTATTTGAATGGACCCAACCAATAGATCTGTTTTGGAAGAAGTGCAGCCAGAGTGCTCCTTGGAGGCCAAGAATGGCCAAACTTCATCTCTCATACTTTGGACATATTATCAGGAGGGACCAGTTGCTGGAGAAGGACATCATGTTTGGTAGGGTGGAAGGTCAGAGAAAAAGATGAAGACCCCCAATGAGATGGATTGGCTAAGTGGCAGCATCAATGGACTCAAGCGTGGCAACGGTAGTGAGGTTGGCCCAGGATTGGGCAGTGTATCGTTCTGCTGTGCATAAGGTTGCTATGAGTCGATACCAACTCGATGACACCCAACAACAACAACAAACCTCCCAAGGGCTTGGTAAATTTTAGGACAAGCGAAAAAGAGAAAAATCCCCAATGAGTTGGATTGACACAGATACAACAGCAATGGACTCTCAAGCATAATAACACTTGTGAGGATGGCACCGGACCAGGAAGTGTTTCATTCTCTTGTGCATGAGGGTCTCAATTAGTCAGAACTAACTCGACAACACCATACAAAAACAAATTCCCACAATGGAGCCATGTACTTTATTTTAATTATTAGCAAACTATGCAATTCTCTTGGCAGGCTACAAAAACTTCACATTTGAAGGTTCTAGTGTGGCACTGTGGGATAAAGCACTGAACAACTGCAAGGTCGGTTCAAACCACAAGGATACTGGCTGAAACTCACCAACGGCTCCTTGGAAACCCTATACAGGGTTGCGGTGAGTTGGAACCGAGTCAACGGCACTTAACAACAACAACAACCTAAAAGATGATTATGAGTAGGAATCATCTCAGTGGCAATATTGTTGGTTTCTGGTTTGGACCCAGTTATTTGGTGGAGGTGGTATGCGATGGGTCAGTTCCGACTCATAGTGACCCTGCATAGGGTTTCTGAGGCTGTAAATCTTTACAGGAGCAGAAAATCTCATCTTTCTCCCATGGAATGGCTGGTAGTTTTGAACTGCTGACCTTCAGGTTAGCCCAACTCGTAACCACTACACTATCAGAGCTCCTTAGTCATTTGGTGGTGGTGGTGGTGGTGGTTCTGACTCATCGTGACCCTACACAGGGTTTCTAAGACTGTAAATCTTTATGGGAGCAGAAAGCCTCATCTTTTTCCATGGAACGGCTAGTAGTTTTGAACTCCTGATCTTAAGGTTCACAGCCTGATTCGTAACTACTACACTACCAGAGCTCCTTAGTCATTTGGTAAGAGTTGCAAAAACTATAGCTAGAAGTGTCATTTAAGTAATTCACTTCATTGCAGAAGTCAATTATTATTGTTATTTTTAACACAGAAATATGATAGCATATTTGCATGATGATGCCAATGAATGATTAGAAGAGAAATTGAAAACATAGAGGAGAATGGGAATCATTGGACAATGGAGAAAAGCAAAACATGGAGGGGACAAAATTATGTGGGAACTTAAATAATTGTTTGTTGTTGTTAAGTACCATGGAGTCAGTTCCAACTCATAGTGACCCTGCACAGGATTTCCAAGGTTGTAAATCTTTATGGGAGCAGACCGTCTCATCTTTCTCCCGC